ATATAGGCCTATGTTCACCTTCTTAATAAGTTTAGATTACTGTACATCCGATGAGCCTCAATTAAGCTAAATGTAGGAACCCCACCCACCCCCGCTTTTCACATCGGAAATGTATAAAATAGCTATGCATGATTTTGTGCCCGGGCTAGGATTTGAGTATAAAATTTTCCTGGTTATCAAAGGTGGATCCAGGATTTAAAAGAGGGGGGTTCATTTTCCCATAAACCCAAAAATGAAAGGGAGTTTTGGGGTCCTCCCCCTGAAAAATTGTTATTCCTAGATGGCCGGAAATCAACATTATTGAGTTGGATACGTAGTCTTTCTTCCATAGATCGATGAACTGATAGGCCTGAAGAACACACTTTCGTACATAAATTATTACGATGTCGAGCCAACAGTTTTAAAACTGTTTTTAATTGTATTTAATTGAATGTTAGTTGTTCTAAGCCTATTTTGTCCGATCTGCCAACCTATGCCTAGGTAGGTTACATAGCTGTTACCAACCTGAAATCATTGAACCTGATTTAAAACGCGAGCCGGCGGCCAGCAGAGCCCCTGCCGGGGTCCAGGGTCAGGGCCCCGTTGGGGGTTCTGGGTGGGGGGGGCGATACCCCCTGGCTGTTCTGACGATCTTAGCATTTTTAAGCTGTTTTTAGGGAGTGTTTATTGACAATATCAGGTACATAAACAAAAATATTTTTAATAAAGCCACGTACAATTTGAGTTTCAATGTATGTTTAATTTGAGTACCTGAACTATGTACACAAACATTCATTACTCAAACAAACAAAAAATGAATAGGCTGCGGTGGTGAACCTTTCCTAACATTTGACACTCTTTCTACCCCTCCTGTTATACTCCTATACCCCTGATTCTTAATTAATTTGTTTAAAGGGCCAACATTTATTTTGAGTTGGGTTCACAGGCCAAAAGATAATATCTAAGTACCAGTAATTAAGCAAGTCGTTATGTGTTTGATAATTTCAAATTCTACTTTTTGTTACAATATATGGTAACAAATTCTGTAACTTTAAGCTAAGAATACGTACACAATTATCAATATTCTGTACACATCCTTGTTGGTTAAAACAATAAGAAATTGCATTCGGTGTATATTAAACGTTAGTAACATAAACATTAAAAATATATATAATATGCATACTTTATAAAACATAAATTGACCTAATTTTCTGATAAACAAATTAAATAACATTAATTAAATGAAATATTTAATGATATAGGCGTATTTGCTACCATCAACCGTAACCCATAATTGAAATAAAAGTAGGCGTATCGTAAAAGAGAATCACTAATGAGCATTGACCTCAAAAGTACTGTAGAAGTACAGAAATAATACTTCCGCTACTTGCCGGAGTGTATTTTGTGGATGCAGAGAAATATAGGTATATAGAACGACTAGAAAATATGTGTGATATCGAAATTCCAAAAGAGGAAACATGTTATAAAGATATCCTGTTTTCTTTCCTCTATTTCTTATGTAAAACCGGAATTTAAACTTTCAAAACGTTTGTACAATGTGTATTTAGCCTTCATCAATACTGTATTGCAAATGCATCAATAGTCAGTTAGTCAATTGATTGAATAACGCTTTTGTATCATCGGCACACCTTTTTAGTGTAACCTTACAACGACTAGATAATAATTAATTGATATAAAGAAAACACAAAATATAAAATTAAAAAAAATATGTTCTCTCTCTTATAAAGTATAATGAAAATAACCTGATAGAAAAAAAATCAATAGGAAAACAAGGAAGGAAGGAACAATGCATTGAAAAAATGGGGGGGGGGGGAAATAGCCTGGGGAATAACTCTCTGAGTAGAAAAAAAATCTGTGGGGAAAATTAGCAGGTGGCAAGTAGCCACAGAGTGCTATATATAAATATCCCACAGGGAACAGAAAAGAGCTCATATGGTCTCCCAATAATTACCTAAAACTTAACATGAACAATATAATGCATTAAATACGACTGAAAACTGTTTAAAGGAAAAAGCACCCTCTCGTGGAAATTATGTTATCACAACACACAGCACCTTTAACTACACTCACGGGCTACAGTAAACTTTGGCATTGCTCATGTGGTACTTACCTAACCTTAATTTGGGATTAATTTTAGTGCGTCGAACACAATTTAAAGCTATTTAAAGAAAACTCTCTCGTGTAAATGTGTGTTTCACCTGCTAAACGTACCTTTAAATACCTCACGGGGACGGAAAAGAGCTCATATGGTCTCCAATACTTATCTAAACACTAACATGGAACAATATAGTGCATTAAATATGATTTAAACTGTTTAAAGGAAAAAGCACTCTGTCGCGGAAATTATGTTATCACAACACACAGCACCTTTAAATACAGTCACGGGCAGTAAACATTGGCATTGGTCACCTGGTACTTACCTAACCTTAATTTGGGATTAACTTTCGTGCGTCGAACACAATTTAAAGCTATTTAAAGAAAAACACTCTCTCGCGGAAATGTGTGTTTCACCTGTTAAACGTACCTTTAAATACCTCACAAGGGACGGAAAGGAGCTCATAGGGTCTCCCAATACTTATCAAACACTAACATGGAACAATATAGTGCATTAAATATTAAAAAACTGCGCAATTTTACGCCTTTTCCCCCCCAGTTTTTAAATATTCAAAAATCTGTATCTCATTCACCGTTCTCTTTCTTCGTCAAACAATTTAAAAAATCGGATCTAGGCCTACAACATATCAAAAATTGTTTTCCTCCGAAGTCTGACTTTAAGAAGACAAATCCTTTCGTACTAGATACAGAAACCCTTTGAAAGTAATATTTGAAATGAAACACGTCATTCTTTGTTAGAGTACTTAACTTATGCTTTAATTTTTTCTTGTCAATTTCATATATATCTGTCTCTTATACACATCGCATCAATAACACATATAACAAATCAAATAGATGACAATACTCAAATATAGGAACATGATATACTGTGCATGCGCTTAAGGCATTCTCAGGTCGACACAGAACTGGAAAGGAACTCAACTCAACTCAACTCAACTCATCGACATGAGTGCTCCGTGCAACTGAAAGGGACTGAACGCAACTGAAAGGAACTGAACTCATGTCGACTTTGAGCAACTGAACGGAGCTGAAAGGAACTTGGCTCATGTCGACTGGCAACTGAAAGGAACTATTGGCTAAAAACATTTTCCCGCGAAATCCCATCAACTGCAAAATGTCTGTAATGTTTTTATTAAAGACACGTAATTATTTTAAAAAGTGTATCTACTTTATTTTTTTGTTTTAAAAATGTCGACCGGCAACTGAAACAAATGGTGCCTGTTTGATTAGTCGACAGAATTGAGTTTTTAAAGATTTCATTTTCTTCGAAATCTCATCAACTGCAAATAAATGTTTGAATGCTTGTAAGATTAGACGTGTCGTTAAAAATAATAAAATTATTTTTTAAGTTTATCTACTCTTTTTTTAATTTAGAAAAGTGTATCGCATAGGCCTATTGGTCTATTTGAAATGGGTTCATGCAAAATCTGGTGGAACAATTAAAATAAGAAAGGTCTTTTTCTATATGAAAAAACAAAAACAACAAGTATACACGAATGCATTTTATACGTGACAATGTTTACATGAATCAGCTGTCAAATATGTTATAAAAATGCATTAATTTAATATTACGCGAATGCAGCAGCATAGGCCTACTTTTGATAGAATTCATAATTTAACACTACACTGCAGAGGGACTTTCTGAAAAAGGAATGTAGCTTTTCTTGACCTAGGCCTAGGCCCTAGATAAATGTTCTACTGTTAGAATTTGTACAAAACTAACTTCAAAAACAATGCACACTCCTAAGAATTACTGGATTATTTATAATTCGTAAAAATGGATTTTGGAAGTGAGATCTGCATGCCATTAATAGTTGTCAAGTCTTTACTCGTCGTACGTAGAGTTGGACGTAGGCTAGTAGGCCTGGCATAGAAAGCCTGCCTTTCTTCTACACTCTAGGCGTAGCCTAGGCTAGCTAGAATATGGTAAGTATATGCTGTATTATTATTATTATTATTAGGCCTAGCCTAGGCCTATTTGTTAATGTGTTAGAATAAAAATCTGACCTATGGCCTATAATATTTTTTAAAACAAAGAATAAAGTAATCTGCCATTAACAAAACATTGTAATATAATATCTTTTTTTAGTTAATGCATCTTGATTACGATTAATATCAGGATCAACGTTTTCAGTTCCTTTGAGTTCCGAATCAGCATTTTTTTCGCGCTTTTTTCAGTTCCTTTCAGTTCCGCAAAAAGTTGAACATGGGCAACTGAAAGGAACTCAACTCAACTTGACTCATGTCGACAAATATGCGCGACTGTCAGTTGCGGTCAGTTCTGTTCAGTCGACGAGCGGAGCGCTCATGTCGACGAGTTGAGTTGAGTTGAGTTCCGTGTTGACCTGAGCCTGCCTTTACAGTATACTCACATGAGACTGAACTGACACTTTCTTGACCAGACTTGGATTGGATTGGATTTATTCAGTGTAAACACCAAGGATAGCCCATGAAAGTCTAGAAGAAGACTTATTTCCAGTGGTGTCCTTCTGGTGGTGATTGGAGGGTATTGCTAAACCCCGCATACCCCGCAAACCTCCAAAAAAACACCGCAAACCCCATCCAAACTCTGTGATAATAATTGAATCACATAGTATAGGACTCAACTTGGTATCTCAATAAAAAAAAATCTGAATTTTATGTTCGTCACAACCTATTTTTGGGGTAAAAAGGTCATTTTTTGTATAAAAAAATTGCTAAACCCCGCAAACCCCCCAAAACACAGTGCAAACCCCATCCAAACCCTGTGATAGTGATTAAATCATGTCGTATAGGACTCATTTGGTATCTAGAAATTCACAACTTTGGGTGCAGCCTTATGAATGATGACCATATTTATGCCCACTCTTATTGTACAGCAAATGCTACATTAGTGTAACTATTCAAAACATAAAAAAAAAACAAAAAAAAAAAACAATAAATACTAGATTGGTTTGCCTTGAACCACCTCATCATTTAAGTACTGTATTATATGCACTATCACTGCCAATTTGAATCAGGCCAGAGATTGATCTAGATCAATTCCAAGGTCACAGACCTACATTTAACTGTGTCAATTGAACGTTGTATCCTTTTAAACTAATTGAAAAGTATATTAAAATTATTTTTAAAACACAAATCTTGTAATAAACTTACTGGTTTAATATTCATAACATAGCTACAGTAATACTCAATAAATTTCCATCAAATAAACACAGTTTTAAGGAAGAATTTATGCAGAATCTATGCCAAAAAACAATATTTAAATAGGTTTACTGAACTGTTTACATTTCTACGTAGATCTTGAGCATCTGTAAAATGCACTCTCTATTTAGATTATTTTTTTGACCGTCCACACTATAGTCAATAAAATAGGCAATTGCGATTATTTGCACACCAACATGATGGCTTGCATTTCATTACTTGAATTATGTATTATATTTTCTAACAAGACTAATATACAAGATTTCAAGTGTAACCAGCTTCTAACCTTGATTTATAATATTTGCATGCTGCTTTTTAAAGGTAGGATTGGATTGGATTAGAGTATACAATTATAACTATCAGTATCACCTCATGAAGGTGGGTCAAATGCAAATTGTGGTTTATATGTAAACCTGTCATTTCATCGCTTGCTTTCTTCACAGTGAATAAATATTCAGTTTAATAATTTTTTTTTTCTTGGTAAATAGATAATGCCTGTAGAAGATATCCTTAGTTTTCTTGGCAATAAGTCAACTGTCTTTGCATTAGGTGCTGTTGCCATGACTTCATCTTATTACTTAGCAACAAGAGCAACCCCAGTGAAGCCAGTCATTGATCTTAAGAAACAGTCTATAGTACTGGAGGTAGGTGTCATTTCCAACTGTGTAAGGTTGAACAACACCTAAAAATATTATGATACCTATGTAACACATGCATATGTAACTCCCTGAAGACTAGACTTGCCACAAGCCCCTTATTATTATTTTTTTTCTCATTCTGGACAGCACCACCAACAAGAAAGTTAATTCAGAGACCAAAATAATCCAAAAAAATAAAGAAATTGAGTATGGGATGCCAATTAAATTAGGTGTGGTGCGCACAAAGTGCAATAAAGAGTGAGTACGGTAACCCAAAATTAGGGCCTGGAACCCAGGCTACCTGGAGAATATTCCATAATGGACCGCTCGGATATAAGGTCCCACAATACGAAAGTGTAAAAACATACGCAAACATGTGCGTTTGTGAGACGTGTTTGCATGTCATTGGTTTTGTTCTGATTGGTCAGTGAACAAAGTTTGATTGACACTCGGGAAGGCCCATTTGCTGTATGTAATAAATCAGCACATTGGCAATCGGACATAGTCGGTATCCTACTTATACTGCTGGGTGGAGAAAGACCAGTGAAGGCTCTAGGATATATTTTCTGGGGAGGGGGGGCTGAGCTGTCCAACAGGGGGACTTGGGCTCATAGGTTCGAGTTGGAGGAAGGGTTTGAGAGGGTGTTCCCCTCCCAAATGAGATTTTTTTAAAGAATAGAAACCTCTGGATGGCCAGAAATGACACTCTGATTGTGACAGACATGTGTTGGCTTGGCATGGGCCTATTTTTATATATTTGTTAGTCCAACTGCCTGAAGAGCCCTGTCCGATGGAGGCCAAACCCCCCCCCCCCCACCGCAGCCACAGAGAAAGACAACCTGTACAAAGTGCTTTTCCCAGTGACACGCTTAATTCTATGTATACACCATTCACATAATGCGCCATAAGCCTCCCCCACTAGAAATTTGCTTAGCAAAAAAATGATGCTCAAGTAGTTAAAAATCACTTCATTTAATCTTACTATGCTAGCTAAAGCTCCCTCAATCATTGAGCCAGACCCTTCATGAATATAATAAGATTATCCCTTCATAAATCTTGTTTGTTAATAATCGATTAATAATTAATTTTTTCTTGAAATTTTAGGGAGATGAGAGAATTCATGTCTCACCGTTAATGAAAAATGGAAAATTCTTGGAGTACCGTTACGAGGATGTCAGAACAGTTTATGATGCCTTTCTGAGAGGCAGAAGACTATCAGGTACACCAGCCTTCTGAAGCATATGACATTCATCAACATTCCTGTGAACATGTTTATCTCCCTAAATATTTTCATCCTTCACTTGCTTTTTTTTTCTTATCTGTATAACCTTAATTGCTGTAAAAGCATTTTTTGTTTGCTCTGATTTAGGTGATGGACCATGCTATGGACAATCTACAACATCAGGGTTTGTTTGGACATCGTATAATGAGGTAAATTATAACTGCTGTATATACAATACGTACTGAAACTAATCTAAAATTTGTTGTCTTTTGATAATTTATAGACATATGTGGTTTCCAATATAGAGATACAAGATATTGAACTACGAAATATAGCATTGTTGGCCAGTATTAGTCTAATCTTTTCAATTGATAATAATATTTGAATTCCAACCAAAGTTTAGCACATAGATAAGGTTCAGAGTTCATCAAGATAATGTTTGATATTTATGTAAACTGACAGGTTTGCCCTCTGGGATTGATGTGAGGTTTTTATACCGAATAAATAAAAAAATACATAAAACTAAAAATAAATTGTAAACTTGTTTTATTAATTATTAATTTATTAATTAAAATATAAAAATAGCAACAACAAAAATGATGACAGTAGTACTATTAAAATAAACTGTTCACAATGGGTATGTATAGCACTATAATCCTAAACATAGCCCATGCATGGCCGTTGGGCCCATGTCAATGGGTAGGCCTCAGTACCCCAAGGCTTGTTGGATAGTTTAAGGCAAGTATATAGTAAACCAATTATAGTAGATGGCCTGATTGGGGCAATAGAGAGATAGATAACCCCTTTCCCTCAAAAAAGAATTATTACAGAAAAATAATTAAGGTTAATACAATGACATTGTTTTAGTTAATATAGGCATATGGGAAGTTTGATTGTCATGAAAATGTGTTAATATTTAACTGCCTTGATTGATGAGGAATATGGATTTCTAATTTCTGTGAAAGCATTAATTTTGTTTTGCATTGATATTATTGCTTACTTTATATTTTGTATTATTTGCAGGTATATGATCTTGCTCAAGCACTTGCTTGTGGACTATTCAGCAAAGGTGTGGTAGGCGGACAGGATACTCTGATTGGAATATATGCTCAGAATCGATTTGAGGTTGGAGTTATGTGTTTTAGAATATTCAATGGAAGTTAATAATCAGACTAACTTATAGTACTTCATTTTTTTGAGGAAAATGTGATGTTTTCAAACCAAAGCAAGGATTAATGACGTAATTGGTACAGATGTAGATAATAATTAGTAGATATAGATAGACAAACCCATACTAAATATAAAAAATAAATATAGGTAGAATTAAATGCTTGTTTTTATTTGTTGCTATGTCATGGTGCTCTGTGATACGTCTTTGTATTGAGCAACATCATACCCCCAAAAAAACATAACATAGTTTTCCTAAGCGCAATATTTATATTATTTGAATTATATTTTAGCTAATTACTGTATTCTAGAACAAAAGTAGTCAATTTTTTAGGTGGTAAAGCCTGTTTGTCCTCTCTAAATCTGCCTCTGAAATTATTGTAGACAGACACCTCTGATATGGTGTGGACAGATGAGTAGCTGTAGTAGGTTGATCAGACATGAGACCTTTAGGGGAGGAGAAAGTTACTGTACGAACTAGTCCATGCTTTAAGCGCTTTGAGACTCTGGTGTAAAACGCTAGGTGTATATTAATCTATTATTATTAACTATTTATTATTTAGTTGATTTATGTTTTTCTGTTGTGATCTTTAGTGGGGGGTATCTGATGTTGCATGTCTAATGTTCAGTATGGTGTCAGTTCCTCTATATGACACATTGGGATCAGATGCATGCTCTTATATCATCAATAAGGGTAAGTTTAGAAGCTATTTTATTGCCATTCTTTTGTATTAAGAAGTTACAATCTCCGTTTATGAAAGGTAGCAACATTGTCTTTAATTGTCCGTCTGTTAGAATAATAAATTACCCAGTAATTTTTATTTGAAATTATTAGGAAACATTGCTTCGGTTATTGTTGACACTGATGAGAGAGCCAGGAAGCTCATATCAGATGTTTCCGAGATGAAATGTCTAAAGAGAATAATTATGGTAGAAGAGATTTCAGAAGACCTCAAGAGGATAGCTGAAAAAGAAGCAGTTGAACTCTTAGGATTTTATGATATAATAGTAAGAATAATTTGCTTTTCTTAAAATGAAATTTAAAGCTGTTTTTGTTTTTAAATTTTTATTTCAAACAACTACAGGTAGCTTACCTAGTGTAGTAGCTTTCTGCTGGCAACTCACTCAGCTTTCATCCTAGCCTCAGTAATCACAAAGGGGCTGTTAGTAGTAGTGTTACTGAGACGTATCAGATGGTACCTGTGTCCCTCCCAGTAACAAGTAAACAGCTATACGGTGGTACTATCCTCTGTCTCTGTTGAAGCTGTTTTCATTGAGTTATTGGACTTATCAGATGAAAATTCATCATCAGTAGTTAAAAGTTAATTTTGTTGCATATATGACTCCAAAACAATGTATATAACATTTGTTATTTTTTTAGGAACTGGGAAAAAATAATCTTCAAGAACCAATGGTAAATATCTCAATGTCTTCTCAATAATTATTGTTTGTTCATTCCCAGCAAAATTCACATAAGAATTAGAGTGATTGGTTTCTACATTGCAAACATCTGCCACTATACTGTTTAACCAGTGTACAGAATTTGTACATATGTAAATATTGTGTTGTTTTATTTATTCATTCTTTCTATTGACTGGATACATTTTCAATACAAAAGTACTAGTCTCAAAAAGGGTCCAGTTATTTTCTTAACAAGGTTAAGAATAGAAAGTTAATTATACCTAACTCAATCATAATATAAAATCAGTAGATAAAAAAAGGCATAACATAAACATGTATGACAATGGTGAAGTGATAGCAAAAACATACAGTGTATGGGATAAAATTCAAATTAAATAGCATGATTTTTGAAAACGTTGAAACTCAAGTTGGTTGCCTTTTTCTTTACATCGTTTGGTTTTCTATTCCATTATTTTGCATTCTTTTAACATAATTATTATTCCGATGAAATGTGTTACCCCCAGTTGGGAGTGGGGGAAGCTCTCCCCAATGGGGAACAGGCCCTGGGCCCTCCCACTGCCACCACTGGTGTTGATTCTGTAGGGTGATAGGGAGAAAAGCTACATAAAAGAGTGATATGGACATTCATTACAGACAAGAAAGAACATCTGAAAGAATTCATAAATGAACAATGAAGGCTCAAAAGTGGAGCCCAATGTCAATAGTTTTAGAGTCTGAGAGCTCAGAATTTATACAAACAACTTGAGATCTATAACTGAAATATGAAGTGAACCATTTTATAACATTACCGCTGATTTCAAACTTCCTTAATTTATCAAGAAACTTTTAAAAATCTAATATAGCAGCTTTTGCATTTCCATTATGAATTTTAAGAATGTAATCTGAGATGGTTGTGTTTGCAGAATGCCTGCAAATGTGTGATGTTGCATGACTTTATCAATATATAATCAAATGTACAGCAAAGTACAATTATAGTGTTTTTTTAAGAAACTTCATTACTCTCTCGGTAGTTAATTTCTCCTAACTGAATGAGAACAACAAAAATCATTATCTTAAAAAATAATGTATTAACCCCATGTTAATATATTATATATATATATGTTACATTTATATTGTTCCCACAGCCACCTCAACCAACCGATCTACACACAGTTTGCAATACCAGTGGAACAACAGGTGGGTGGTTTGACATGAAAATCAGTCATGTTGTCTGTACCGTATTATCATTTGAGTGTCCTTTTGAACATAGTGATACCGTGGTTGACTGCTGTAATTTGGTGTGCAAATGTTTGAAATGATTAATACTGATATAATATGTAATAATTACTGATATTTATAACATGTCAGTTAACTTATGTTGCATAAGATTAGCAGAAAAGTATCTGTTGAACTAATAACGCGTTTAACTCATCTAACATCAGCAGTACAGTATGGATACGATGAATAACTATTGTGTTAGAAAGAACTTGTTTGTAATGCTATATTGATAGACTTTCGTCAAAGAAATAAAAATTTCAGCATTCGAGAGGGAATACAGTCACTGACTTCCTTTTTGGTCGGTGCGCAGACAGGTAAAATTGTGCGATGATTTCATAACTAGGCCAGGCTACGGCCTATGCCTAGTAATAGTAGGAGGACGCCCGGGCGGCCTGCCTAGTCGTAGGCCTAGTGATGACGTCACGATTGACGTCATGATTGATTAGTCAATCGTGACGTCATCACTGTAACTCCTAATGTTATTTGCCTATTCCTCAGCATCCAATAATTTTTGTATTATTGGATGCTCGGCTTGATTTTTTTAAGGTTCGTGTGCAAAAAAAAATTCCTCATTTTTTCGTCACCATCGCGAATAAATCGACCACTGCGATAAAAATTGAATTGTAATTGAAAATTACTTTCGTAAAACAAGCTTAATTAGAACCCGAAGAAAGTTACTAATTACTTATTATACTACTTCAGCTAGCATAAAGCAGGTTTTATACTAAGTGAATTTATTTGCATAAATCTAAGCGTCGGTTCATGCGCACTCACATTTCTGTTGGAGTTTTTCACTTCAGTGAAATTAGTAGCTTATTGGTTCTACTTTTTGCGGAGCGAAAAAAAGGCACAACCAACGAGAGCTCAGTAAGCGAAAACTGGCTCAAAGTACAACAGTATAACTTAGTGCCAGCTTGGTTTGGAAAAAACTATATTATTAAAATATATGATCTGTGTATGTATGCTATTTCAAACATTGTAATTTATCCTTTGGTTTCCTTTATTGCCCAAAACAAGGATTTTTAGGTATAGTTTTCAACTGTTGTTAACAGGTTTGCCTGTCTTGGGTTTCTATCCAAAAATGAAATCAAATTATCTTCATGTTATCTTCTAAATTTTAAATTACTAGTCTAAATTTTATATTTAATAAGTTTCGTCATTATTATTATTAGTATATATTGTCATCATTATTTTTCATAATTTTTTTGGATCAGGAAATCCGAAAGGTGTGATGCTTACCCACAGGAATATAATTGCAACTGCAGCCTCATTTCAGGAAATTGCTGAAGGGCCTGTAAGTTACATTATACATCATTTTATTTTACATTTTCAGTTAATACATTTTTAAGCAATAAAATCTTTCAAAAGCAGTTAATATATAGGATGAATCATTGCAAATTTATAAATTTATTCTGATCTGTAACACACATACGTCAGTTGCATTCATTCTTCCCCTGACATTGTGCTGTTGTTATCTATAATCAAGAATTAGTATTAGACACTCTCATTATCCTGAAGACAAATAGAGCAATCTAAATCTTAAAATACTCAGTTCTTCTCAAAACTATTTGCATGGTGTACTGCAAATTTATACTATTGTTTATTCGTCATGCAAATGTTTAAAAAAAATTGAACAAATTGTTAATAAAACAAGAAGTTAATTTTTGTAAAAAAAAAAAGTTTATAGGCAGAACATAAGTTTGTAACTTTTTGTTTATTTTATTTTTTTTGTGAAAACGATTTTCGTTCTTACATATTCAGCCCCATCGTTAACCTGTTAGGAACAAATGAATGAGTGAGTAGGTAGTTTTTTCATGGTTTTTTGAAAGATTTCGAGAACCGAAATTCTTTTTAGTCTATTTAATAAGGAGCTACAGACGTGTACCTACTTTCAGTGGCAAGACTTTGTGCTGTGTGGTTCCCTGATGGTGTTTAATAGGACTTATTCCATAAAGTACTAGAAGTAAAAATGAATAGATAAATTTAACTCTTAACTCAGATATTAGTGTTGATTGCTTTATGTTGATTATTTGCACAGTCTGAGCTTAAGTTTGAAGAAGGAACAACACATTTGTCATATCTACCATTGGCCCACATGTATGAGAGACTGACCCATGTAAGTATTCACACTAAAAATCAATTATATAATCATGGAGGTATAAATACATCCAGGATATATAATACTGTAATAAAAGAGAATTAATAAAAAATGAATGAAACAATTAAACCTTGAACTGTGTTTAGGTCAATGCAGCAGAGCTGGTCTGATTGCAGTTTTAAAAGGCCTATTATAGGGACTTCCAAATCCTTGTAATATTCAGCCTTGTGATCCGTGAAAAAGTATGTAGGATAGGCTTATCTATATACTATTTTTATTAATTATAAAGTTTTGAAAGTGTAATGTCCTCTTCCATAGACTGCGGACCATATAGTGCTTCTGGTAGAGATTCAGTGGTTAAAGCTTCCTTGAAGCTCTTATACCATAGAGATATAGTTTACTATAATACCTCCATGCTTATACTTTTACTGGATATTTGGAATTGGATAATCTGTGACCACTCTTACTCTGAAGTAACAGCAAAGATCATAATTATTACTCTTATAGTCAACTGGTGAATTTACTATATAGTCTTGGACAAATATACACTTGCAACAAAAAAATGCAAAAAAATGCAAAACTCAAGTATCAACTAAGAACGCCTACAACATATAAGTAAATAAGCTCTCTTTTTATCCATTAGTTGATGCTTTTGATGCATGGTGGGAGAATTGCCTTTTATTCTGGTGATATCAAGGCCATTATGAAAGACCTACAAGCAATTAAACCGGATGGATTTCCATCAGTACCAAGACTTTTGAACAGAGTATATGACAAGGTAAAGCTGTTCAACATCTTAGAAATTGAGATGATGCCAGGGTGGTAGCATATTCACCATAACAATTTACCATTAAGTACCATTGTTATGCCTAAAAGTAGTATAGTTTCTATTAAAGATATATTTTATTAGATTAATATAATACAATTTTATGGACTTTTTTTTTTTTTTATATGAACAAGCAGTAAGTTTCAAATGTTTACTGTTTTTTTTTTATACAAAGTTATCTTTATGGAAGTTGTTTATATGGGCATATTTCCATGTATAAGTACAATCTCAGCAAATGTTTCTTTCAACTACTTGGGTTGATTAATTTTATTGTATATTATGCTATTTATTTTGATATGCATTTACTTGTAACATTTTAAATCATGTATTTCTCTTTTTTATTTTTCGATTTATAGCGAGTATATTTTGTTTGGGCTTTCACTTATTCCCTATTTAATCAAACCATTCTGTATCTATATTCTATTATTATCTGTCGATGCTGTATTAGTAGTGTTATATTGAAGATTTTAATTCACAACCATTTTACCACATAATTAGGTCATTCAAAGTGTGGAATCTGGTGGCTGGCTGAAACGCAAGCTTTTTTATATGGCACTGAATGCCAAGAAGAGGGAGTTAGATAGGGGAATTGTGACGAGGACCAGCATCTGGGACAAGCTTGTCTTTTCAAAAATTCAAGTAAGTTTTGGCAAAAACTAGTAAAACTGCTCCCTGAAGTAAATTTATGGTGCCAGACTTAACTTCCTGGGGCAGCACAGTTGGGCCCAATCGTCACTTCAGTTTTAGCTTCTGTACAGTGTTTTTAATTTGTGTAAATCAGTATTGTATAATTACAATTGCACTCAATCAATATGAAATTAGAATGAACAACAATGCCTAGCCTTTCCTCATGTAGTTGTATCGCAAGATAGTTCAGCTATGAGATCAGTACATTTTTATTAGTGAGGTTTAATTTGTTAATTCTCCAAAATTAATGATTTCCCTAAGTGAAATCATAGGGAGGGGAACTTGCGGTGGGCCAGCGTCCCACCCAGGAGGAGCATTACCCTCTCATCATCCTCTTCACACTACTTGAAATTGGGGGTAAGCTCTAGCCCATAATAGCCCGTGACTCTACAAGGATTTACTTTTTATTGTTAGCTTTTCCCAACATGTTTTATTTCTAATTCAGTATTGTTCCTCTTTTGAACTTTGATTTTTTGAAAATTTATGTTATTTGATTTAACAGATATAAATGTAACTCAATAATTACAAAAGTTCTTTGATATCATGTTCTTACAAAACTGACAATGAATTTGGGATTTTTTTTATTTATGTACTTTTCCATAAGAACATGCTTGGAGGGAATATAAAGGTGGTATTTTCAGGAGCTGCTCCTCTGGCCCCAGATGTCATGACTTTCCTCAGATGTGCATTAGGCTGTCATGTGATCGAGGGATATGGTCAGACGGAATCCGGAGTTGCGGTGACATTCACTGTTCCTGGAGATCATAGCACTGGTGAGTGGAGCTTTTTTTTTTCTTTTTTGCCATGGATATTGGCATTGTATAAACCATTGATGATTGATTTAAAGTGAAACGATGATGTTCTTGATAATTTTAATAGGTCATGTTGGCCCACCAATTTCATGTTGTATGATCAAACTTGTTGATGTTCCTGATATGGAGTACTATGCAGCCAATGATAAAGGAGAGGTAAAGCTTAAATGTTTCATAATAGTCAACACTCAATAGTTGGATACATTTTAAGGGTGTGGTAATAATACTGTGTTTCTATTCGAAGTTTTATGGTAGCCAAATTTAGCTTGTTTTAATTGCAATAAGCTCCATCAGTCAAATTATATATCTGTTTATCGTAGCATAGTATGTTCATAATTTTCTCACATCTTTTTCCTTGCTTCATAAGGTATGTTATAAAGGTGTAAACATCTTTAAAGGGTACCTGAACGATCCAGAGAAGACCAAAGATGCAGTAGATGAGGATGGGTGGCTCCATTCAGGAGACATTGGACAATGGCTTCCAGTTAGTCACTGTTGTATTATCAATTATCGTTTTAATGAAAAAGTGTTGGAAGATCATATTTGTAATTCTTTCTTTTGACAAATATTTGAAATTGTTTTTTATAAATCAATTTTAATGAATTTCATATGTTGTATAATGATTTTTTAAAATGTATTAATAATCAATTTGCTGTGTAATATTGAAAATAATATTGTATAATATATTTTTATATAATTGTAAATACTATTTTTTTTATAATTAGTTATTTATTGTAGGCCTATTTATATTTTTTGATTGTATAGTATTTTGTTTCAGTTTTCTATATTGTAGCCATCTTTTTAAATGTAAACTTCAAGAAGTTTCAGCTTCTGTTGCATAAAAGAATAAGTTTTAATATATACCTGGTTTTTTTTCAATCAAAATTACATTTGAAAGCTTGCATAATAAGCAATCATTTTTTAAGGAACTTAATTTTTACCTACTAATCACACAATCATGAAATTAAAATCATTGATTTGCATATATTATTGTTTTTGTTTACTAAGAATGGAACACTGAAAATAATTGACAGGAAGAAGCACATTTACAAATTAGCCCAGGTAAGTGCAAATTGTCATACGCTGCCATCCTGCAGTGTTAAATACTGTATTTATTTTTATAACTAGTCAGTTGTATATCTAAATCTCCCCTTCCCACAATAAAAATATTGCCTTCCCCCGAGTTTCTACTTTAAAATTTTCATCTTTCTTTTTGTAACTTTGGAAACTACATTTTATTGAAAGTGTATTTCAGAATAAATAAAATTGGAAATTTGCTGAACAAAACAATACAGTATATGCTTGAGTAGATAACAATCACCTTATAAGTAGTTTCAAAGGCTTATTTTATCGATTTCAGAGTCTACAAATATGTACAAAATACATTTTTTCCCCTAGTCCTCTCCCCCCCCCCTACTGGCACATACCACACCCATATCTCCCCCTAAACTTATTCTGTTATGTTGATCATTCAATCATTATGATTTCAGGGAGAATATATAGCTCCTGAGAAGATTGAGAATATCTACATGAAGAGTTCATTAGTTGAACAGGTTTGGGTACATGGTGACAGCTTCCAGGTAAGAAAGTGGATCAGGGATGTAAAATAATTTAATTATTATTGTAACCTGTGTAGTACGTACCCACTGATAGTTCTTATTGTTTTTTTAAGTCATTTTCTGTAGGCATTGTGGTACCAGACAGGGAAACAATGCCAAAATGGGCAGCAGATAAAGGTTTCCCGTGTGAATATGAGGAACTGTGCAGAAATGAGGTAACATATTAAAACTTCTTGTGTGAGATATGTTAGAGGAATTAGAGTTAGACCCTTAAATTGGCTGGGAAATCAGTGTTTGCAGCAGAAACTAAAAAGAATATTGTTTCCAGTGACAGAGTCAGGAATTTGAAACATAGGTATCCTGGGGTGGAATTTTGCAAATAGGAGATATTGGATGTCTATGGCATTTGTAGTTGGCCGGAAATGGCACTATTTTTTTCTTTTTAAAAGATTTAAGGGAGCCCTTAGATCCATCTCCCTCTAGTTTTAACGTCTCATTAAAGAATGATATACAGATTTTTTGAATATTTAGAAATTGGGGGGAAAACCTTTTTTTTTCAAAAATCAGTATCTCATTGACCACTTCCGAGTTTTTCGTTAAATACGTTCTACAACATATCAAAAAAAAAAAAATTTTCCTCCAGAGCCTAGCTTAAAAGAAATGTCAAACTTGGAAAATGGTCAAAAAAGTTGACTTTTACTTCATCCTTTTACATAGGAAGTGAAGAAAATGATTCTAGAAAATATGCAATCAATTGGAAAGGAGAGTGGCTTGAAATCATTTGAACAGGTAATTAACAATGAAGTCAGTTGCTTTAGCAATTAAATGTGTTCGACCTACACTAAATTAATGACCTGAGCTTTGGACTGAGAGGTATGCCAGTGACTGAAGACATACTGTATACCCTGGTTCAAACCCGGCTAGCGACAGTTTATAATTAGGGTCGGGTAGTTCTGCTCCTCGAATATTTAACATTGAGAGTTATGTGCATTAAGGAACATGCTGTTTTCATGTATATCCTTTACATGTTGTCGAGTGTTGCTGCACTGCGGCTGTCGGGGTAGCACCTTACTCGTCATAAAGATGTAATGTATGTATTAGAGCGGAGTTGGGACAAGAATGTGCCATCACACAGCAATTCAGTTGTGGCGGGCCCCCTAAAAACTTGATATTTGCTCACGTTGCAAATATAGTAAAACAACCTAGATCAACATAATACTTCGTTCCACATTAAGTAGGTAGGTATGATAATTAGATTAAATAGAAAACAATGAACATCTGAATACCCAATGTCTTATTCTTAAGTCATTGACTCTACTAAGCAATTAGTAGAATAGTGTATCACACACTAGTGGAAATTATTATACGAAGGTTAGAAATGCATTATCCGAGAAGAAATGATTTTACCAACTAAACCCTGGGTGATAATTGGTTGTAGTTAGTGCCGCCTGCCGCACTTATTACCGCCCAACCCCTTGATTTGACCCTTGACATTGCTGGTAATACGATGATAGTGATGCTGAGCTGCTGAAAGATAGTAGTGATGTCCTATTTTCTATCTCTGTCAAGTTCTTTACCGTAGTAGAGTCAAATTGGAATTTTGATTTCATTACTTGCAGGTCAAAATCATTCATGTGACATCGGTGCAGTGGACTGTGGAAAATTCATTACTGACACCAACATTCAAGTTGAAACGACCCACTCTCAAAAAACAGTTTGCAGAAGTAATATCAAGGCTATATTCAAAATAACTGACTTAATCCTGCCGAAATACTTTATCTTTAATCACTAGGCTTTTATTACTATACATTAGTTGCGCACTTAAGAACTGCACTGGCTTCCCGTCACTGAGCAAATTAAATGTAATGTGCCCAGTTTTATATTCAAGTCCTTGCACCATTCCACACCTCATTACATCTCGGAACGCATCACACTCCTTTTAGCAAAATTTGAAAGGACGTTAAGGTCCACTACATGCTTTTCAATCCTTCATGTGCCTACTTGTCCTTTGGAGACTTACGGAGAGAGGTCATTTTCTGTTGTTGGCTCTAAGCTCTGGAATTCACAATCTGTTCAAGGGTCTCCTATTTGATGATCTTCGTGCTGTCTCAAATCATTCCTATTTGACAATCTCTAATTTTCCTCCACCCTCCTGTTTTTGGTTTTTTCTTGTATAGTTTTTCTTCTACCGCTTTCTTTTCTGTTTTCAACCATATATTCTGATTTTGTTCTTTTCTGTTGGCCTGGAAAGCACATAAAGACGAATGTCATATGCGCTATACAAGTGCACAACCATTGATCTTTTTGGCAAAGACCATTCAGAAAACTAAAAAAAAAAATGGACATCAATAAAAAAGAGAACTAAAATTAAAAAGCATCAGCTCATCATCTGAACGTTAATATCAAATATCTTCTTAAATCTTTGTTTAATAAGTGCAAGTAATACTTTTTACTAAGAAATGCTTTTTAATGTTTTCATTATTTTGCATATATGTTATTGTTATTTGGATGATGTTTGCAGTTTGTATTCATGTTTATTCCTTCCTCCTGGCATGATTGTACTTTTACTTTGCCAAATGAATATTATGATTTAAAATGTATTGTTATAAAACAAAATCCCTAACAGGGCTGTATAAACAAAACCTAGTTTGCAAACCAGTATAAGATATAAAATAATAATGTACAGTGATTTATACAATAAAAATCATCTTGCTTAATTAGTTTAGTGTTGAAACCGTACTTTGTAAACCAAAATAATTATATTACTTTTCATTTTTAAAAGTTGAATAGTTCCAGGAGCTATATTTTTATATAATTATGGACATGGCAATAGGTGAATCTTAAACTAAATTGTTTTAATATTAAAGTACTACTTACAGACTTTTAAAAGGTTTAACAACAGTGATTGATTTTCACTTTAAAATTTTTTAATATTTAAATTTCATGTACTGAAAATATATGCAATTAATTATTAATTTAAATATAAATTAAGTGTATGCTGCTCTACAATGTAAATGTACAATGTTTACAAGAGACAATAAAAGAATTGAATACATCACTGGTTCTCAAACCTTTTTATATGGCGCATCCATACCTCGACCCCAGTTTGGTTGAAGCAAGTTGTAAGCATATGGCACCGCTATCTAGGGTCAGCTTTTTATTTGCAAACATTTTTTACTTCACCTAAACGGAGTCAAAATATGTGTATAAAGTTTGAAAAAGCCAATTACAAGGTTTCAATAATAAATGAATAATAATGAACTACAATTAAGTCTATGTGCTTTAGCTCTTCTTAATAAAAAGGTGACTTTTGAGATGTGATCTAAACTGTTCAAGTGATGTGCAATCCACTACATCCCTTAATTTAATATGTTAACCTGGATTATAACCCTGGGGTTACCATTTTATCATAAAAAATGAGCATGTTCCCCCCCCCCCCTGTCAATGTGTAAAACTGTGGTCTAGCACAATTTTAGCCAACCTAAACCATGGATTTTATTCCTAGACCCGGATTGAGATCTAGACAGCCTTTTGGTTCAGAATGCCTCACAGCACATTCCTGAAGCCACAACTGTATTATTTTTTTTTAAGTGCTCATTTCTAAATTTCACTAACTTTGGGCAACATAACACATATTTTTGGCCTCATCATACTGTTGTTTGTATTTGCGTTATACGAGTACATCTATTACTATGATTATTATTATTGATGCTATTGAGAATTGTTCTAAGGGTCTTCACATTTACAACACCTACTTCAACAATTGTTAGAGAAAAGATTTTAAGTATATATCGTGAAAGTTTTGTGCCTTGTGAGGAATAGTGTTAAACAAGAGTTTCAGACAACTTTAATCATTTTGATTAGACACCAAAATACCTTAGTAGGCTTCAGCCTGGGGTCCCAAGTTGGGAGAAGTCATTTCCAAGAGGTCTGCGGTGGCGGCTCGAAGGGTGGGGGAGTTGAAGGGTAGGGGAAGAGAGGGACTTTTACAGATTGAGGGTCTACACCACCTCAGCCCCACTATGGTTGGTGCTCATGGCAAGAAAATTTATGATTATAGCACCTCAAGATAGCCGGAAATGGCCCTCTCAGACTTTTATAATTTTCTTTTCCACCCCATTTTTTCATAATTTTGAATATTTAGGGGCAAGGGATGGCTTCCCCTCCCATGAATCTGCCACTGATCTGGGTAATGAGCTTTCTTAACACATTTAATTTTATTTTGCTGCAGAGTGATACCCATCAGCACTGAGAAAATTGATAGTAAAGCAGTGAAAACATGCAAAATTATGAATTTGCAGAGATGAGTAAATTTCCGGGAGATGCTTGCTTGCAGGAGACCATCTCATTTTCCGGGAGACTTGGGACCCCTGCATTCACCCACCAGACCCCCACTTGGGTTCTACCACCCGACCCCAGTAGGGTTGCATGGAGCTGCAGGGCTATTCTTGTGAATTTGTGAAGTGGGTGCTCTAGATTTTTGCTTTTGTTTTGTTGAATTCCTTTTTTCTTATTTTTTATTAAGTATAGTACATAATTCCTTCTCTGTGTCCCCTACCTTAAAAAATGTTATTTATATGATTATCATTTAATAGTAGTGATGGGTGTGGCCATCTTATGTAAGACTTGCATACCCGGTATTCAACCCTCAGCCCGCTAACCATTTTAATCTCTACTGCGGCATTGCTCTGGAAATGCATCACATGCACCTTGTTGATCATCACTAGCCATGTTCATACTTGTGTCTTGTGAAATTTTAGTGATGTTGTAGTACAATCTTTGCATTTCTTGTTTGGTTAACAAGCTGTTTATAATGGAGATAATATATCTTTTCAATGGTGGATCTATGATTTAGCAATGGGGGGGGGGGATAATGCGATTTGCGAAGCACCAAGCGGGTGTGGGGGAGGTGTGGTTTTTGCAAGGGCGCAGATCTGTTTGTAAAGGTGAAGGGGACATTTTGTGAGTTCACACCCACCTCAGGCCCAACCATGGTGGAAAATTTTAGGAAATAGCTGTAGATGATCAGAAATGACACTCTAGCAGAGGACCCCGTCATCATTGTTTTTTCATACTCGCACTTGAAAACTTTCACGAAATAATATTCATTAACCATTTTGGGAGGGTCGTCCCCTCACATTCGAGATTTTTTTGGAATTAGTAGACTGCAGTGGATGATCTTAGGTGGCATCTGAAAAGAATTAGGCTTCAAATAGAAAGTGTATGTTTTACCAGAGTACACGAAGAGCACACACGCAAGACGAGTGACCACTATTTTTTTTTCCCACGGTAAACGAAGGGGCGACCCTATTCACCCCCCCCCCCCCCCCAGATCCGCCACTGATTAATAGACGATCAAGTGCTGGAAAGCACATCTGAGCATCTAGAAAAAAAAAATTAATAATCACTCTACTGTATTCCTCATTGCTAATCACTTGCCCTGCACCCCCGAATACAGAACCTTTCTGTATCGGCCACTCGCCCCAACCATGACTACTGGATGATCAGAAATGACACTCTATAGGCCTACAATAAAATTCATCGTCATCACATATGGTCAAAATGACATTTTACCAGCGATTTGCGGCAACCAAATCTAATTAATGTGATGTACTCAAAAAATAAAACTTAAAACATTGTCTTTGATGTATTTACTTTTGGCCTACCTACTTCACAGCCTAGTCCACACCTAAGGGCTGAGGTGGGAACATTTGAGGAAATACCTCTAGATTGCCGGAAATGATTTTTTTTGGGGGGGGGGGGGGGGTCCGTGACATCTGAAAAGAAGTTAAGCTTAAAATAGAAAGGATATGCCCATACTTCAGGTTTGGGTGCTGGCATGGTATTCAAATTTCACTTCTTTTTATTTTGTGGTTTTGGTTTCCGTTCCATCTTTACACTTGCCTGATAGCCCTTAGAGACTTTTTGTATTTTGCGCTCTATAAATTAATAACCATTAACCATTACGAGAGTATACGTGAGAAGCACACATACAAGACGAGTGACCATTTTTTTACAGTCACCGAGGGGGATGGCTAGCCCCTCTTGATCCGCCACTGCTTTTAAGCAGGATTTTATAGGTTTACTACCCTATTTATTCAAATAAATGCCGTGGGGCATTTATTGTTGAGAATGGTTTTTGAAGGGTAATTTATTTAAATAGGCATTATTTGTTTTTTTTTTTGTGTAAAATACCTATATACACCTACTCAAACGCCCCTTAATCTTGCTGTAAATGTGAAACTACAGTATAACACCACATAATTACTGCCACAATGTGTTACTGCGTAATCAAAAAGACTTCCATTAAGGTTAGAAAAACTGTAATTAATATGCCGGAGTAGAATATTAATAGAATGTGTTGACAATGATGTTGCTTCCATTATTTTTTGTTGTCATTTACGGGGCGTTTATTTGTGGAAAAAATAAACACCCCTGGGGGTTTATTCTAGGGAGGCGTTTAATCCAAATTATGCTCCAGAGGGGGCGTTTATTATTTACCTATCACCTCTCCAAAATCAAGTATAGCATACAGGACTTATTATTTCTTTTATAAATGTCTCAAATCATGTAAGTTTTTGATGTTTCTGTCTGTAATCTTCATAATAAACCTCTTCTTAATGTTAGTAAAAATGGTTTGTTTTGTTATCGGCCTTTAGCTTACAATTGTTGTGTTTCTAAACATTTGATATTTTTCATTGTAAAGTAGTTTCAATCAATTTAAGTGTGATATTATTGACCTTATTTAATTTTATGGCGGGTTTTTGTCTTGAAAATAAAAGCTTGATTTTTATTATACAATATATTTAGTCATCCCAACAGATTGGTCTGTTTTGATCATAATTATAGGCCTAATTGAAAAAAAAAATAGTTTTTATTTTTCCTACCTTTACAGCATTCATTTTGAAAAAGAGCCCTCTCTTTTTAGTGAGCAAAAGTAATCTCAAAATGAAGCCCATCTTGAAAAGAAACTCATCGAAGGGTCCTAAAAAAGGGCTTCTATTCAAGGTTTTGTGGTACAAGAAGTTACAGCTCCATCATTGAAAAAAATGCTTATAAAATATTGATTTAGACCAGTTACAAATTGTTAGTATTTTTTGTTAATTGTTTATTCAATTATCTCTGTCATAAATAAATAGATGCACATATGCCTGATACTATAACATCAATACAAAATCACCTTATGAAATTATATGCAAGAAAATTGGGAAATAATGTTTCCTGACAGATTATGCCCATTTATGAAATCATAATGCCCCTTTACAGTAATTTCAAGATTCCTCTATTCAAGACTACTTTTCCCAATTAAAAGTTTTAATACAATTAAGCAGTTTAATTGGACCTGAAGGTAGTTGCTTAAAATGGCAGTAATTTTCTAATTCAAAATGCCAGTGCGCGACGGTCTGCAAACATGCCTAGGCGACATCAATCGTTCAGTAGAAAAGAAGAATTTGTCTTGGAAATAATTCTCAACAAAACAACCAAAAAATATAGTGAGACTTTAACACTGTAGGTATCAAATACAAAATTTAGTTTAGTTTGCTCATTATTAAACTTGGTTGTAATAAGAGCTGGTTAATTTTGGCTTGCATGCAAAAGATAATGTTGCATTCACAGGTCACAGATCCTATTTTAGGTACAGTAGTATAATAACTGGCAGTAGCAGTGACAAACCAAGATTCAGCCAGGATACCACTAGTGGAAGGAATAGGTCTGGGACTGTTGTTAACTGTTTCTGTTTTAATTGTTTAAAGCCAGACCATAGCACTGATAAATTTATGCTAACAAGAACTTGCTCTGTTCCAGGTTGGGGGTGAGACATACAAAGTTTTTTCACCTTGAAGAATCATGTTTGTTGAGCTGCAAAGACGATTGAGAAGCTCCAAGCAGTAGCAACCATGTGAATGCCGTAATTGCACCACCTATTCAACCTCTTAAAGTCAAGTCGCCAGATAGTGGGATAGAAGTAGAGGTCTGCGCATTACTGGACAATGGTTCCACCAGCTCCTTTTGCACAGAGAGATTAAAGAGAAAACTGTTCATGGTAGACCTAAGAAACTGGTGGTCAAAACATTTAATAAGGAGAGAGCTGTATCCCTTCAAAACTGGTGAGCCTCGAAGTTAGTGGTGTTGGAGAGGGCGAGACGATACTATTGCCATGTGTGTACTCGATATGAAAAATGAAAATCTGTTTGTCTATGGGCACCTTGAAGCTGGCGGACCTCTAGAAGTGGACCCATTTGAAAGGAATACC